AAACATTTTCAATAATTAAAAAAAAAAAAAAATCACATACATAAACTTATTAATATTTCAAAAATAAATTTCAGTTGAAAAATAAAATATTTATCAACTTACCAGCTAAATGATCCTTTTTACGCCTCGTGTATGCACGTTTACTTGTTACTGGAACTTGATCAGTTTCGCCATGTAATAAGCTGTTCCTATACAAAAGTAAATGTTGCCAATCCTCTCCCCTCGAGGACGGCATTCCAGCTTGTAATCTTCTATCAAGGAAATTTAATCTGTAATATATATATATATATACGTAAAATTAATTGAAATAAGAATTAACGAATCATATTAAAAAATATAAGTAAGAATTATACCCACACGACTCGTTTATCTTGTTTGAGAAGTTTATTTGTAAATTCAGACAAGATTTCAAGGAAAGATAAATTCGGTGGTGGTCCTGTAGGATCTTGTTCGATACCATCCGGTGGTGTAATTGCAAAAAGTACACCCGCTCGATGTAAAGCAGTAATTGCTTCACGATTTTTTACTGCATCTAAGCCAAATGATAAAGCAAATCGTTTTGCAAGTTCCTGAAAATATTAATAATAATGCGTAACTTTATTTAACATGTAGATTTACTATTTTCTTAAGTATAACAATTATTTAACACAAACAAACCTTTATTGCAGTAAATTCTTCACTATTTCTATTGACTTTACCCTTCTCAGCTACTATTTCATTATACAAAATATTCAAACTATGTTGCATAGTTAAAGCACAATTTGTTTTATTGATGTCCCTGGCTTTCCCTAATGTAGTTTTAATAATATCACCGTAATCATTATAATATTTTACATAATGTTTGAACACATCCGCGGCTGCTTTTGTGGGTATCATATTATATACAATTAACTTGCAGTAACCCGCTAAAAAATTTCTTCTTTTATGCAATTCTTCAATTTTTGAATGTTCATCATGTTCATCTAGAAATATAATGTGCACATTTTTAGTTTAGTATGTTGTAAGAAAAATATTTATTCGATAAATTAGTATTAACATACCGTCTTCTTCTTCAAAAAAAACATATTCTTGTATAAATCGATTAAGCATATTTTGCATTGCTTGATCAGGTTCATACACTAACTGGTGCATTAATGGATTAGAATGTGTCGTCAATTGATTACAAAACACTACCAATAAGTCACATATTGTATTATAGGCCTCTTCTCTTAAAATTGGTGGAGAAGGCTAAAATGATATTAATAGATATTGTACTATGGATGTAGGAATAAAAATATTTATGCGAAAATAAAAAATAATGTGATTACCGTGCCGTTCACATCGCCACTAACAAAGTGGCGCATAGAACCCATAAAAGAATGTAAACGTTCTCTTAATTGCCGACATTCATCTTCCCCTCGATTGCCTGAATCTGCAGATTCCATAAGGTGATTCTGTCCCCACAAAATCGCAAAAAAGCATGCACTTATGCAATACTTTACTGCTTCATGCGGTAAACATCTATAACGAAATATTGTTATAAAAATCTTCATACATCTATATGTATAAAATTTCCATGTATTTCAAATATGTAATATTAGTACTTAGATGGGTCTTTAGCATCTTCGATATCCTTGTACAAAGAATCCCATATTCCCCAAGGATTCATATTGTGACATGAATAAAATATTGAAACTTTTTTTAAAGATTGTACAACATTGAAAATTTCATCTTCATCTGGTTCTTCATCTCCTTCTATTAAATTTCTGTATTCATCAATAGCTTCTTTGTACTTATTTACAATGGAATCTATTAATGTAGAACGCGCTACATCACATCTGTATTGAAATATACATATTACACATAGTACTAAAAAAATTTTGGCATATACTAGCATATATCCCCTGAAGTTTTACCTGGTAAAAATAGCGTGTCCCTCTACACACATATGTTCCAGTGTTTTTGCGGCTGTATCTAAAACCTCGGTATCATGTATTTTCTCCACGATTGTATGAATTTTATTCAATAATGAGTCCAAATTTTGTTCTTGTCGAGATTTCGTATAAATATCTAAATCGAAGTATTGAGGAATAGCAAGTAAGTTTGCAAGCTTTTCAGGATCAGCTCTATATTTATCAAGTAAAAGAGGTAACGTTTGTATAAAATGTTCCGTTAATCGTTGTTTATCATCATGCACTTGCTTCATTTCCTTTGCTGATAAAATTTTTCTAGTTGGTCCCCGACCAACTGGAGCTTCGCCTGTTTTAAAAATTAAAATAAGTTTATATTTATTGTACAATTTTATGGAAAGAGGCGGAATAAAAGTTTACCTGTAGCAGCTTGTTTTATGCAACAAACCATCAGTTCAATTAAAGACGTTTCTTTCTGATTATCTAAAGCTTCTTCTTCAGGTCCAGCCTCTTCTAACAGTAAATCTGTCATACATTCCCAATCTTTCATCATTTGATTTGTTTCAATTAAAGAATCTACTAAATATGCTCCATGTTCATGAAGTTCTGATTCAATAAAAAATAAAACAAGATCTCGAATAAGTGGAGTATTTGGTAAACGCTTCTTTCCACGTTTAGTTTTTACGCCTGCAACTGCTTCGTCATCTGGACGAAATAGACGTTCGTTTAAAAATTCACCTGCTGCTTGTGCGACAGCTCGATGAGATGAATAAACAAGTTCGTATACGTGTTCGCAATCTTTATCGGTAAGAATTTCTCTGTGATGTTTTAAAATTGATATAACAAGTTTAACAGCTTGTACTGCTACATCATATTCTTTATCCAATGTCATTGCAACGATTCGATCTTTAAATTTACTCGTAAAAAGTTCAAGTTTAGTTTTTAGTTCTTCGGATGCATATAAAGGTTGTAATGCTTGAAGACATTTCAAACGAACTTCACCAACTTTATCATGCAATGTCCAACCTACAAAAATAAACAAATTTATGTAGGTATTTTACAAATTTATATACAATATATGTAAATTCATGTTAATATCGTTCTATTAACCTATATATTTTAAATAAGAATCGTCTAAAAAGTTTTGATGAAATTTTTTCATCCAAACTCCTATTTCGGCCATACAAATTGCACGTATTTCTGGTAATGTATCTCTGTAACGATGTACAAATACAGATTTGAACATATATGTGAGCATATTTTTTATTTCGTCCATATTTTCTTCTAATTCTTTCCGTTTAGCCATTAAAGATTCTAATCTGTCTGCAGCTCTTTTTTCTCTAGCTTTCTGTCTTTCAGCTTCATATTGTCGTTGTGTATTATCTAAATTTATTGATACAGTTAGAGCAACATCTACCAATGCTGTCATAAGTTTCATAGCTAAAAAAAATATAAACAATATATTATTAAGACTTTAATGATATCAATCAGAGTATATAAATAAGTATACTTATAAATAAAAAACATATCTTACCAGCAAGTGTGGCAGTATGCCTAAAAGCTCTTACTTGTGAATCAGAAAGACCAGTTAATAATGAAATTACGTTGTCCATTAAAAATTGATCATAAATTATTGAATATTGACATTGTCGTACTAAAATTTGGACAAATTCACAGAAATTTGCACGGAATTTTTTCCACTGTTGGCCAGTCATTATCAATGGATATTCTCCACTTTCCTAGATTACAAATTATTATCAATTAAATAAGAAAGTTTTTTATATTAAAAAAATGTAATATCAACATACTTCATCAAACTCTTCAGTCATTTTACGAATAATTGCTACATGTTCCATTGTTGCTTGCATCTCAGATGTAATACGACCTTTGCACCCACTTGCATTAATAAAAAATTGCATTAACATAAGAAGTGCGTTTTCTCTATTACTTTTGTACTTTTCTATCCAATCATCAACAATAGTCTAAAAATGATTCAAAAACATTTTTATCAAATACTGCTTTTAAACATAGCAGTCAACATACAGTTAATGATGACCGATTGTTTCTAATGACGTAATAAAGACTAGCTTCATCTTCTAAACTATGTGAATGATGTGTCCGTTTTCCACGTCCACGTCCACCACCTCCTCTTCCTCTGCTACTAATAGTTGGAATGTAATCTGTATCTACTTCTTTATACTTTGGTTGTTGTATTGGTCCTCCTACAAAAAGATAATTAATTACAATTGAATAAAAAAAGTAATATCACTTGGAATCATACCACGTAATCTAGCTCGTGTGTTTCTCGTAATCCTCATATTGGTTGGAGTTGCTGGTGTCATAGGCTGTTCAAATTGAGACTGATTCTCAAAACTAGTTTGTTCCTGATATTGTGGTTGCGATGTACCTGGCGAGCTATAGCTCTCAGATGAATAATGTTCTGGACTAAGCAAGACAAATTAATGTATTATTTATTGAAAATATGTTAAATATTTAAACATATAACATATAAATATATAAATAAACGTAAACATAATTAGATTCTGTTTTTAAAACTAGTATATAACATTAGCAAGTGATAAATTAATAAAGATATTTAAAAATATATTTACGTTGGATTATGTAAAGGTGTTTGAGGTGCTTGACTATATGGTGCATAAGTTGAATATTCATTTGCTTCACCCCCTGAATTATCATTCATGGGAGTCATTGGAGTCATTGGTGCCTCATATTCTGGAGGCACTGGATCATCCATGCGTATTCGTTTACCTCCTCTTCTATGCATCATTTTGAAGCTATTCTTTTATTATTATCCCTAAAGGAAAAGTATCATGTTAAACTTGTGATTAGATCAGTCATTTTCTTTATTTTAGAAAAATACCGCCAAACAACATTTCATAGCACAATTTACAAACAAGTATAATTTTGATTCATTACAAACCTGTAAACAATTCCCCGACAAATGCGGGGATTAGGGATGATCACGGAATCTTATGTTCCTATAATTTTTTGATGCATTTAATTAAAATGTTCGTTATTTTAAGCAAAATTGGAAAAACACATAAATAGAATTCTTCAAATAACCCCGGCTGCTTGTAAATATCAGTAGTTAGCCTTACAATACATGCAAATACGCACCAGTAAACATAGTTATTGGTTGCTTGTCAAATATAAAATAAAGTGGACCAATAAGGAAAAGGAAGCTTATCTCGACTAACTTTTAGTTTGTATTTGCGAAATTAAATTTTAAATTAGATAATTTTCT